CCCGCCCCCCCCGCCCCCCCGCGCCGTCCGATGGCGGCGGCCGCGCTGAGGGACCCGGCGCAGGTCAGTGCCGTGTCCTCCCCGCCTCGCCCGTGCTCACGCCAGCGCAGGGATGGGCGCCTGCTCTGGTCCCCACAGCCCAGGCCCGGGTGCCAGCCGAGGAGGCGCTGTGGTGGGGCCCTGTTTGTGACGTGCAGGGCCGTGGGCGCGGAGGGCGTGACGGGCGGGGGCCGGTCGCGTAAAGGCTCGCGTGGGCGATTGAGCCCGGAGCACTCGTTTGGAATGGGCGGGGTCGAGCTCTGTCTTTCATCCCCAGGACTCCCGCAGCTGTTGCAAGTTATGCACAGGAGCCACGTGGTTTCCATCCTTTCAACGTTTTTCGTAAGCTGCGCAGAGTTAGGAGAGCCTGGAGGGCTGGGGTAACAGTGAAGCACGGGCAGGTTGAGTTCTGTGCAAGTTTACTAGAAGGTGAGTCAGCACTGCAGACTGGAGGACTGACGGGCACTTACAATGCACTCATTCCGAGGTCTCCTGGCTCCAGACTGGGCGGGGGAACCAGGGGACCTAAGGCGATGGAGCCCCCTCCATGGTTGCCTGCCTTTCATGACCTTCCTTTTCACCCAGGTTTCCATGATTACAGAAGCACTTATGGACCTCACACGGGTGAGTGGACTTGTTCCAGGCCCCTACTGGTGTGGACCCCACAAGCTGTCTCTGGAATTGAGTTCTTGGATTCTTTTCCTGGCACTCCTTTAGTCCTTATGCCTACTTACTGTGAAGGAACACCAAGCCCAGGGTTATTCATCTAGACCGGGGCTATATGGAATGGTTCCTATTGCTGGATACCAGTGCAGTGAGGTGCGGAATGTTGTCCCAGGCATAGTTACCAGATAAACAAATGCTTAAAGGTGAGTTTGAGCTCACTTAGGCCCTTTCTTTCTCATGGGTAGAAGTTAGATCTGGAATGGCTCTGTGAGATGTTGGGTGCCTCTTCTGGAAGAGGTGAACAATGGGAATTTTGAGGCAGAGTAGGAAAGTAATCTCATCCAGGTCTCCTTGGGGCTACAGAATGGAGAACAAACTGGATGTGAGGGATGAGAGGGGAAGGCCAAGGAGAAGGTTAATAGTCCAGGCAAGTGTTGACAGTGGTTGAACTAGTATGGTGGCCATAGAGATGGCAGAAGTGATTGGATTCTAGATTTTTTTTTTTTTTTTTTAAGTAAGGAAGCACCAGTTTTCAGATCTTGAAAGTGAGAGAGAAATTTAGGAGTCAGGGGTGCAAGCAAGACATTTGGATTTAGCTGTTAGATGTATGGAAGTTCCACTAATTGGGATTGTAAAGTTGGTAGGATGGTCAATTATTGGAGATATCAGGGGATTCAAGATGTCTTTAGAGTCTGACATGTTTCAAATAATGGACATCAAATGGATAGTTGACTATACAGGACTAGAGCTATAGGAAAGGATTCAGAATGGAGACATCTAAAATGTGGTAGCCATTGTGCTTTGGGGTGTAATGTGAGTCATAATTAAAAGGATGAATCCTAGTCATACTAGTAATGCTATTAACAACCCAGGGAAGGAAGATGGGTGTCAGCCCTGGATCTTAAGCTAAGGTATGTGAGTAGACATAGTGAGAATCACAAAGACAGGCATGAGAGGGAAGAAGAGGAGCAGGCAGGCAGCCAGTGCTCTAATGGGTGAGTGAACATGAGATCAATGTGAAGGCTCAGGGATGTTAGAGACAAGGTGAGATTGAGGCCAGGACTAGTGTTCAGTCCCCAGGCTTTGGATCCACCAGGATTTTGTAGTGACCATTGATGCATCTGGGAAGTTTCAGTCAGGAAGGTGAATGGGTTTAGGGTCACAGTTGTTCCCCTGGGAGAATCACTGGGCCTGAAGTGGAGGGCTACTGAGGCAGGACTTTTTTTTTTTTTTTTTTTTAAGTTTATTGTTTCTTCCATGAACAAGTAAAAGAGTGAGACAGCATTTCAAATAGGGTCTCCATACAATACTCCATCCTCCGGCTTTCAGCCAGCTCTTCGTCATGGTCAAGCACATGACCAGCATGTTTGGAAAGGTCTCTAGACTTGAACCAGGAACCTTCCCATGAACTCACAGAACATCACATTTTTTTACTTATTCATTCATTTATTTTAATGTGACCAGAGAGAGGGAAGGAGGGAGGGACAGAGAGAGAGGGGGAGAGAGAGAGAGAGAGAGAGAGGAAGGAAGGAAGAAAGAGAAAGCAAGCCACCAGATCTGGGACTTGAATGATGGTCAGCCATATGGGAGTGTCCAGCACCTTAACCACCACACTACCTGCTGGTCCCCCTAGGGCAGGGCTTTTAATGAGGGTTACAAAGAGAGAAGCTGTGACTGGTGACAGGACCTCAGGGATAGCAGAAGCAGAAGATCAGGAGTGTCTTAAATCTACTGGTGGTGGTTCTGAGTGGCTGGGGCTGAAGCAGGGAATAGAGTAAAGCAGAAAAGCCTTCATACCTGGATGGGACACTGGCAGTGGGGACCATTGGCGGTCTGGGGTATTCTGGATCCTATTCTGGTTTACTAAGCACTGTCTGGATGCCATGTTCCCAGTAACGTGGGAAGAGTACGGAGCTGCATATAGTGGGGGCAGGGAAGTGGAGATGACTGTGGGCTTGAGACTGTATGAGAGAGGTGGTCCAAAGATTGATGTGCATGTGGAAAGGGAATGTAAACTAAAGGACCTGTGACCAAGGCGTTGAGGATGTAAGATGATGGGTGATCCCACATCTGTTTGTGTCTGAGGAGTACAGTCTTGGAAACCCCAGGAAAATTGCCTGCCCAGAGGGGATCCAGCTCTACATGCCACGCCCGAGAACTAGATGTCATCTCCCAGCCCAACTGCCTGTTGGTGCTGTAGAGGACACAGTGATGATAGAACCATGATGAGAGAGTAGGAATCAATGTCACCAGGGCCTGGTATTTCCTCTGAGGTGGGGATTAGGGAGGAGGGTGAGAATGGGAAGGATGAGTTGGGGGGGAATGAACTTGGGGTCCACAGAAAGAATCTGATCATGGACAGATATGTCCCCATCATGGCAGGGCTATGTGACCTTTGAGGACGTGGCCATTTACTTCTCCCAGGAAGAGTGGGGGCTCCTTGATGAGGCTCAAAGACTCCTGTACCTCCGTGTGATGCTGGAGAACTTTGCACTTACAACCTCGCTGGGTAAGGTCCTTATACCCACCCATGTCCTAGTCTCTATGGCCTCTTTTCCACCAGAGGCAGCTCTGCCCTTACTATAGCCAGACCATGGGCTCTGCTGACCTTCCCCCCACCTCCCACTTTCTTGGCCTATGTGCTGTAGTGTCAGGGATGACCTATGTGTACTTCCCCTAGCAATGAACTTCCTCAACAGCCTGGATTTCTGCTGCCCTAAAGGGTTCAGGGAAGGGTCTAGGAGTCAGAAGTCTGAAGTCAGCCTAATGCCCCTCACCTTACTTCTTCCTGTTGATGTCCACACAGCACTTTGTGTCCCAAGTTCTGCCTCCTCCTTGCAGTTGAATTTCCTCTGGCTGCCAGTGTGAGGAATTTTCCTGATCAATGTTTACGTGGATCATGGGATGTTCTTGCCAGAACCTCTTCATAGATCTGTTTAATATTAGTTTTCTTTCCTGTGGTCTCTAGTATGCTGAGTGACTCTGGATGAGTGCTGGGTGCTCACCTGTCTGTCTTTTCCTTAGGACTTGCTTCGTGCAGTGCCATATAGTAGATAACTGGGGTGTGGGGAGAGCCCTAGTTGCTTGACAGGGTAAACATGGGAATGTAATCCCAGAGGATACCTGGCCTCAATGGTTTTCAACTAGGAGAGAGCATGGCATCCATGCTATTTTCTAATAGTACCAGCAACCTATCCTGTGTCTACCAGACTGTTAGAGCTATTGACATGATGCATAATTAATTTCTGTCTTTTCTTCCCCTTAACTTTTTTTTTTTTGGAGGGTTTTTTGCTATAGGGCATGTGCGCTCGCCAGAAAGACAGAGAGAGACAGAGAGATAGAAAGCAAGAAATCACCCCCCAGGGGGATGGCCACACCACAATCCCTTCTCCTCCATTCTCCTCTCGGGATCTTGGGCACACACATGAGAGGAGAATGGAGGAGAAGGGATTGCGGTGTGGCCATCCCCCCTGAGGGGTGATTTCTTGCTTTCTGTCTCTCAGTCTTTCTGACAAGCACACGCGGCCTATAGCAAAAACCTCTCCAAAATAAAAAAATTTAAAAATGAAAAAAAAAAAATTAACACAGAGGGACCAGCAGATGGCATAATGGTTACATTGCTGGATTCCCACATAGTTGACCGTGGTTTGAGTCCTGGACCCAGCGTCTTAAAACTCCTATGTGCGTGCATGCCCAAAATCCGAAGAAGAGAACAGAAGAGAAGGGGTTATGGCATGGCCATCCCCCTGGGGGTTGATTTCCTGCTTTCTGTCTCTTTGTTCCTCTGGTATGAGCATGCGCCCTATAGCAAAATCTCTCTAAAAAAGCGAAAAAAAAAAGAACACAGGGAAGGACCAGCAGATGGCTTAATGTTTATGTCGCAGGATTCCCACATAGTCAACCATGGTTTGAGTCCCAGACCCGGTGGCTTAAAACTCATGCCAGGCACATGTGCATGCATGCCCAAAATCTCAAGAGGAGAATGCAGGAAAAGGGATTGTGGCATAGCTATCACCCTGGGTGTTGATTTCTCGCTTTCTGTTCCTCTGTCTCTTTGTTGAACGTTTGTGCTCTATAGCAAAAATTTCTCTCAAAAAAGAAAAAACACAGGAAGGCCAGCAGATGGCATGATGGTTAATATGCAGGATCCCAACTGTGGTTTGAGACACACTGGTGTGAAAAATATGTAAGGCATATATGCATGCATGCCCAAAGTCCCAAGAAGAGAATGGAGGAGAAGGGATTGTGGCATGACCATCTTCCCTGGGGGGTGATTTTCACTTTCCCTCTCTGTCTCCAGTGATTACACATACTCTGTGACAGAAAGAAATTAAAAAAAAAGAAAAGAACTCATAGGATTTTGATTAACAGAAGTTAATGTCATTGTTGGAAAAATGTTTTACTTACTGTAGAAGAGAATGTAAATGCCATGCCACACAGGAACACAAAAGGAAGTGCCTGGTGATCAGGAGCATAAGCAAGAGATAAAGAAAATCATTAAACCGCAGCTTTTATCAGGATTTCTGCAGGAAAGGCAGAGCATGATAAATAGTTTACTACTAGGCAGTTTGAATGATTTCAGGAGGCTTTGGGGCAAAGGGTTTAGCTGGCTTTAGTTGTCTGCTATCAGATGTTGGGATTATTAGGTTAAAGATCTAATTGTCTTCTTTGTGTCCAAACCATGTAGAAAATATGGTTTGGTGTATGAGCTCTGCATTTGAATGAATGCTCCCACTTGAGCCATTCCCTGTCTCTTAAGAATTGACTAGTTCTGAGAGCAAGTCAGATCTCTCCTCAGCCAGCAAAGCAAAGTTAAGATATCAAACTTTCATATTAAACATACTTTATATATATATATATATATATATATTGTGTGTGTGTGTGTGTGTATATAGGGCATGTGTACTTGCCAGAGAGACAGAGAGAGATAGAGAGAAAGTGAGAAATCACCCCTCCCCCCAGAAGGATGGTCATGCTACATACCCTTTTCCTCCATTCTCCTCTTGGGATTTTGGGCATACATGCACATGCTCCAGGCATGAGGTTTAAGCTGCTGGGTGCAGGACTTGAGTTGCAGTTGACTACTTGGTACAGTGACATAACCATTATGCCATATGCTGGTTTCTAAACATAAAATATTTTCAAAAATAAAAAATAGGGTTGGCTCTGTGGCCTTGTGATTAAGGGAGCCGGATCCCACATGATTAACCACATAGTTCAAGTCCTAGACCTAGTGACTTGAGAAACATGCCGGTGCATCTGTATACATAGGAAAGATCCCAACAGGATAGAAAACTGGAGAAGGGATTGCAATGTGACAGTGCCCCATTGTGAGGGTGCTTTCACCCTATTAAAAAAAACTGATAAAGGGGCCAGCAGGTGGTGAGGTGATTAAGGCATAGAATTTCCACATGACTGACTATGGATTCGATGTCCAGATCTGGTGGCTTGAAACTCACTCCAGGTGTGTGTGCATGCATGCCTAAAATCCCAAGAGGGAAATGGGGGAGATTGCAGCATGGCCATCCTCCTGGAAAGTGGTTTCTCACTTTCCCTCTGTCTCTGGTGAGCATAAATGCAAAAAGCTCAAAAAATAAAAAAAAAATAAAAAAGATCAATACATTCCTTTCATAGTCAACATATATTTTATCTGTATTTCTCTGCTTTCAGTGTGTTGGCATGGAATAGAGGATGAAGAGACACTTCCTGAGCAGAGTGTTTCTGCAAAAGGAATATCACAGGTCAGAACTCTAAAATCAGATATTTCCATCCAGAAGATTCACCCCTATGAGATGAGTGCCCCAGTACTGAAAGACATTTTACATCTATCTGATCTACTTGAGCAGAAATCTTGCTGGGTTGGGTCATGTACAAACCTTCACCAGGACCAGAAGGATTATAATGCTGAGAAACGGTCAAAAAGTGATGTGGACAGGACCTTATTTATGAAAAGTTGCAGATTCCATGTATCAGAGAAGCCCTTTGCCTGTGGAGAGGTAACAAAGGACTTCCCAGCCACGTTGGGCCTTCTCCAGCCCCAGACTATTCCCATCTGTGAAAAGCCAGACAGAATCACTAAGTATGGGGAGACCTTTCACATCGGAATAAGTCCTTTCAAGTGGAATGAGTGCAGAAAAGTTACCAGCCACAAACATATTTTTGCTCACTACCCAAGAGTCTGTACTGGAAAAAGGATTTATGAATCTAGCAAATACGGAAAATCCTTTCACTATAAGTACTCACTTGTTCAGCTCCAGAGAGTTCATAGTGGAGAAAGGCCTTATGAGTGCAGTGAATGTGGAAAGTCTTTTAGCCAAACCTCTCACCTGAATGACCATCAAAGAATTCACACTGGAGAAAGGCCTTATGAGTGTGGTCAGTGTGGGAAATCATTTAGGCAAAGAGCTACCCTCATTAAACATCATAGAGTTCACACTGGAGAAAGACCTTATGAGTGTGGTGAATGTGGAAAATCCTTTAGCCAAAGTTCCAACCTTATTGAACACTGTAGAATTCACACTGGAGAAAGGCCATATGAATGTGATGAATGTGGGAAATCCTTTGGGTCCAAATCCACTCTAGTTCGGCACCAGAGAACTCACACAGGAGAAAAACCCTATGAATGTGGTGAATGTGGGAAATTCTTTACACAAAGCCACAGCCTGCTTGAACACCGCATAATTCACACTGGAGCAAGGCCTTATGAGTGTGGCCAGTGTGGAAAATCCTTTAGCCTAAAGTATGGCCTCATTCAACACCAGTTAATTCATAGTGGAGCTAGGCCTTTTGAGTGTGACCAGTGTGGAAAATCCTTTAGCCAAAGAGCCACGCTCAATAAACACCACAAAGTTCACACTGCAGAAAGGCCTTTTGAATGTGGGGAATGTGGAAAAGCTTTCATGTTCAAATCTAAACTTGTCAGACACCAGAGAACTCATACTGGCGAAAGACCTTTTGAGTGCAGTGAATGTGGAAAATTCTTTAGACAAAGCTATACCCTTGTTGAACACCAGAAGATTCATACTGGATTAAGACCTTATGAATGTGGTCAGTGCGGGAAATCTTTTCTTCAAAAGTCTGGCCTTATTCAACACCAGGTAGTTCACACTGGAGAAAGGCCTTATGAATGTGGCAAATGTGGGAAGTCCTTTACACAACACTCTGGCCTCATTCTCCACAGAAAATCTCACACTATGGAGCGGCTTCATGAAAGCAACAAAAAACCCTTAAGCCCACATTCTACCATTCTTTAGCCCCTAAACTCCACACTTGATAAAGATCTTGGATCTGCAGAAAATTTGCTCTTTTTTCCAATGTTATGGCACTGGACAACCTTTTTGAGGGAACCACCTACCTGAAGTTGAGCCTCATACTTTGAAACATCCAGACTGGTATAATCCTCCATGAGTTCCAGGCATGTGTGAGGCTCACAAGAATTGCTGCATACATTATAAACTTCTGGGTTTATTTGCTAAGGTTATATCACTACTAACTTTTCTAATAGAAGCCATTTCCCTTAGACCACCTGGCAGAATGGGCATCAGCCACCCTAACATGCTAAGGGAAGGCAGAAAGTCTGTGCCTGTTACCTGGAGGAAATCTTGAGCAGTCTGAGCCATTAGGGGGAATTTATTCCCTTTTCTGACTGTCAGAGCGTACTTCTGATACAATTTTAGCCAAGAGGATCTGGTCTGCATTCTTCTGAAAGCCTCATCATGGAAATTGTCTCAGGACATTTGTGGTAAATTTTTCCTTCCTCCAAATAAATGGTAACTGCCTGCCTCACATTGCTGTGGCTTGTGCACTAATAAAGGCCTTGTGGTTAAGTCCACCATAATATTGGGGTTTTGTATGCTGTGTGGGGTGGCTGGAAAACAGACTTGAACTCTGTCTGTATGAAGAAATGGATTACCTTTTTTTGTGGCAGGAGGGGGAGTGGGTGAAAACTTGTGCCTCTCCAAGAACAGTAAAATGACAAGAATAGTTCTCATTGTGGTTTTGGTCCAATTTTCATTGCTATTCAAGACAGGAAACAATGCAGGACTCTGTGCTCCTAACTCTTTTTTTTTTTTGGAGAGGTTTTCGCTATAAGACACGTGCGCTCGTCAGACAGACAGAGACATAGAGACAGAAAGCGAGAAATCACCCCCCAGGGGATGGTCATGCCGCAATCCCTTCTAACTAATCCCCACCTAACTAATCAGGCCAGCAGGTGGTTAAGGAGGTGAGCTCCTACATAGTTGATCATGGTTCCAGTCTTGGATTTGGCGGCTTGAAAATTATGCCAGGTGCATATGTATGTGTACCCAAAATCCTGAGAGGAGAACGAAGGCACACCCCCCCGCCCCCGGGGTGAGATTTCTCACTTTCCCTCTGTCTCCAGTGAACACACACACCCTATGGCAAAAACCTTAAAAATAAAGGAATGAGTGAATGAATAAATAAAGATGGCAAAAAATAATTTTTAAAAATCACCTAACTAATAAAGGGGTGACTATCCACACTACTTCATTTGACAGTCCAATTGTATCTGTTCTTCAACCTGATACAAAGGGTGCCTCATGGAAGATGATGATCTTATCCATTTGGGGCCACCATCCTGAATATCCAATATTATTAGGCTGTTGGGAAAGTCATGATGCATTTATGCATAGAAGAATGATAAATTTAGCTAATATGTTCTATTTAGTGCATATCTCACAACCTCTTAGCTGCAGTTCGCGTCATATATGAAGAGGCACAACACATCTTTCCAGGTTGTCCATGAGGTATCTCAACAGCTTTGCCATCATCTGGCCTTGGCAGACAAGATGTTAACTGTATCTACCTTTCTCCAACAGCACAGGGATGACATGATATCAATAGCATCCTCCAAGAAGATTCATTTGACACATTGGCAACACATTCTTCACCTGTAAGTTTTATTTGGTTTTACAGATGCTGTTTCTTAAAAATAAGCCTACGTGGGACCAGGAGTTAGCATAATGGCTATGTCGCTGGACTCCCATGTAGTCGACCACGGTTCGAGTCTTAGACCTGGTGACTTAAACTCATGCTGGGTGCGTGTGCGTGCGTGCCCAGGATCCCAAGAGGAGAATGGAGAAGAAGGGATTGCGGTGTGGCCATCCCCCCTAGGGGGTGATTTCTCGCTTTCTATCTCTCTGTCTCTCTCTGTCTGTCTGGTGAGGGCACGCGCCCTATAGCAAAAACTTCTCGAAAAAAAAAAAAAAAAGCCTACGTTGGAGAGGCCAGAAGGTGGCATGGTAGTTGGGGCACTGGACTCCCATGTGACTGACCGTAGTTCGAGTCCTGGACCTCATGGTTTGCTTTCTCACTTTTCCCCTCTCTCTGGTCAAATTAAAACAATAATAAAATAAATAATTCTAAAAACCAGAAGTCTACCTTAAATTGTGGTCCCTCCAACAAAAGACTCTAAAATCTGTCCTTCAGTTCAGAGGTTTTGACTACCTCTCCTGTCTCCTGGGATTTCTGACCATCATTCAGTAGCAATTGCAGGAGGCTGTTGATCTGAACTGAGCACTTGCTCTAGGCTCCAACAGTTCAGAATCACTCATACTAAAATGTCACATCATCAAACTGAAACTTTTTTTTAAACCCTTTATTTATTATTATTATTTTTTTTTTTGGAGAGGTTTTTGCTATAGTGCGCGTATGCTCGCCAGGAAGACAGTGAGAGACAGAAAGTAAGAAATCATCCCTAGGGTTGATGGTCACACCACAATCCCTTCTCCATTCTCCTCTCGGGATCTTGGGCATGCATGCATATGGGCTTGGTGTGAGTTTAAGCTACTGGGTCCAGGACTCAAACTGCAGTTGACTACATGGGAGTCCAGCAATATAGCCATTACGCCAACTGCTGATCCCAAAACTTTTTTTTTTTCTTTTTTTTGGAGAGGTTTTTGCTATAGGGCGCATGCACTCGCTGGAAGGACAGAGACAGAGAGAGAGAAAGCGAGAAATCACCCCCCAGGGGGGATGGCCATGTCCATTCTCCTCTTGGGATCTTGGGCATGCATGCACACGTGCCCAGCGTGAGTTTAAGCTACCGAGTTCGGGACTCAAAACATGGCTGGCTACATGGGTGTTCAGTGACAGTCATTACGCTAACTGCTGGTCCCTATCAAACTGAAACTTTAAGGAAGCTGGTAGATCCCAAAATACACCAGTTTTTTCCTGAAAATGGGAGATTCCAGTGAACCTGTATCAATACTATTAAGACATTTAGTAAAACTTATGCACTTCTTGTGGCTCTCTTAGGAATGAGAATCTGAAATAACTGAAGATACTTTCTAGGCTTTCTTAGAGATGTTTTATAAACATCCTTCTTACTCAAATACATTCCTCCTCTACTTTCTTTTCTTTCTTTCTTTCTTTTTAAGAGATTTTTGCTGGGCTGGCAGGTGGCGTGGTGGTTAAAGGTGCTGCACTCCCACATGACTGACTGTGGTTCAAGTTTTGGACCCGGCGGCTTGCTGTCTCACTTTCTCTTTTTCTCTGCCTATCTCTGATTAAACTGGAAAATAATACTAATAAATAAAGTTAAATAAAATAATTTGGAGCCAGTAGGTGGCATGGTTAAGGCACTGGAATTCCCATATGGTCAACTGTGGTTCAAATCCTGGACCTGGAGGCTTGCTTTCTCCTACTCTCTCTCATTCTCTTTCTCTGGCAAAACTCATGTGAAAATAAATAAATAAATAAATAAAAACAAATAATACTTTAAAAAAATTCTTTAAAAAAAAAGGAGAGAATTTTGCTATAGTACATGTGTGCTCATCGGAAAGACAGAGAGACAGAAAGTGAAAAATCACCTCTCTCTCTACCCTAAGGGAGATGGCCATGCCACAATCCCTTCTCCATTCTGTCAGGATTTTGTACACGCAGACATGTGTATGCACCCTGCGTAAGTTTTAAGCCACCAGGTCTGGGACTTGAATTGCGATCTCCCAACTATGTGGGAGTCCAGCAACATAACCATTATGCCATCTGCTAGTTCCCCTCGTTTACCTTCTATCATTCACATCTATTTTGTGGTGTTAGTATATGTAGAGACATGCGGGTATCTGTGAGGCAAGAGATTCCCCAATGATTTTACAACAATGTGCTAAATTCACTGTCTCCACACTTTGCTTTTTTTATTTTCTTTTTTATTTATTTATTTATTTTTGGAGAGATTTTCACTGTAGGGCGCGTGCGCTCGCCAGACAGACAGAGAGAGACATAGAGACAGAAAGCGAGAAATCACCCCCCAGGGGGGATGGTCACGCCGCAATCCCTTCTCCTCCATTCTCCTCTCAGGATCTTGGGCACGCACGCACATGTGCCCGGCGTGAGTTTTAAGCCACCGGGTCCGGGACACGAACCGCGGTCGACTACGTGGGAGTCCAGCGACATAGCCATTACGCTAACTGCTGGTTCCCTCCACACTCTGCTTGAGATTAAGGAAAATGGGGCCAGCCAGTGACATGGTAGTTAAGTTGGTTAGATCCCACGTGACCAACTGTGTGGTTCAAGTCCCAGTGGCTTGAGAAACACACCAGGTACATGTACATCCGTACCAAAAATCCCAAAAGGAAAAAGAAATGGAGAAGGGATTGTGACATGAATGTAATCATGGGGAATGACTTTTTGCTTGCTCTTGTGCACTCTCTTTTTCTCTCACAGGCAGATGCACGCATCCTCTGGCTATGTTAAAAAAAAAAAAAAAGATGAAGCAAAATGTCTCCAGGTGACCATGAGATCATTTTGTTCCCTTTACAGAATTTAGCTGCATCAGACTTCTTACTACACCGTCTCCCATTTGTAATTTTTGCTCTTAAAATTCTGAAAGCTGTAAGGCCTCAGCACATGTTTATCCGGGGAAATTTGGACTTTGTGGTGTCTGGGCAGTAGCCCTAGCCTTGGCCCAAAGAAACTCTGGCTCTCCTTACTTTGCCCCAGTCTTCCTTTTTAGGTCAACACCACTTATGATGTCAGAAACTGCCACTCAGGCCCTGTGCTATACACCATTGAAAGAATAATGACTGACTAGATACTAGGCTCTCTTGGTAATAGAAACTCTCACAGATTCTTAATCATGATCTTCCATACTCAGCTGTCCTTTACCCTTTGGGACAATAAAATAGCTTATCCCAGGGTCAACCTCATAGTGCAGTAGTGAAGTGCTATGCAGAGGAAGCCAGATTCCACATGGTCGACTGGGGTTCAAATCTCAGACCTGGCAGCAACGTGCTGGTCACATACATGTGCCCGGGATCCTGATGTGATGGGGGAAGTGGAGAAAAAAGGATTGTGTTGTGACCATGTCCTATTGATGGGTGCTTTCTCTCCCCCTCCCCTATCTCATGTGTTCATGCACATGCCCTATCACGAATAAAGGATAAAAAACGTTCAGCCCACCAAGGACTTGTTAATACAAAATGGAGCCAAACCTGGACCCTGTGGTATACTCTTCCTTCAGCCCTTCCCTGTCCCCAGTCTCCTGACATGCCATGGTGCTAGAGGTCATCTTCTCTGAAACCTTTGGGTAGTTGGGGAGCCCTCAGGATTCATTGAACTGCCATGAAAATTCATAGACTGTGCAAATGCTGCCAACTCCCAGATGTGATGGTCCTCAATGGAATGTGGATGCTCCCTTTCCCTCAGCCAGGACAACCCTGCTAAGGTCCCAGTAGACAACATAGTTAACCATGCTTCAGGCAGTCATCTTAGCACTTAATGCTCTGGCCAGTGAATTTTCCCATCAGCTCATTTATTTCAGACTGTTAGACTTTTGCCTGAGAGCAGTCCCCTTTTGGGTAAAATCATTGGGGAATCTCTTGCCTCACAGATACCCACATGTCTCTACATATACTAACACCACAAAATAGATATAAAAACTTGCCAGAACATCACTTATTTCCTTCAGAGTTGGAGACATTAAAGATAGTGGTCTAGGCATAATTTCACTTCTCAAAATATACTTTGTGGGAACCAGCAGTTAGCGTAATGGCTATGTCGCTGGACTCCCACGTAGTCGACCACCGTTTGCGTCCCGGACCCGGTGGCTTAAAACTCACGCCGGGCACGTGTGCGTGCATGCCCAGGATCCCGAGAGGAGATTGGAGGAGAAGGGATTGCGGCGTGACCATCCCCCCTGGGGGGTGATTTCTCGCTTTCTGTCTCTATGTCTCTCTCTGTCTATCTGGCGAGCGCACGC